TTGCTTAGCTTTTAGCATTCCAAATATCAACTCTGCAAAACCTATTCTCTGTTCTGAATGTATATGGATTGAGAAATATGATTTTGCAACTCCATATTGAGCTTTTCTTTTTATTTAAGAAAGTTAGAAAACTTTGTGCAGTCATCTACCTGATACTTAAGGAAGAAAATGAAATAGTCCAGCAGTTAATATCTCACTTGAAATCAGCTTTTATTTTCAAATGGTCTTTGACGAAGGTACTCTTGATTTCTCCTCTTTTCAACTGGTGGGTGGGGATCTACTGAGGAAATTGAGCTTTGTGCATACCTTTATGCTTGCCTTGTTATGTAAATATAGTCTTTATAGGAAACCTTTTCCCTTTATAATTCTTGTTTGACATGCAGATGGAAACTTTGTCTAGGGGTGAGCTTTTTCCAAAGATTGTAGAAGCATATTCTCGTCCAACCAGAATTGTCCGCGGAAAAGATGTGGATGTTGAATTGAAGGTACTTTTGTTTAAATTTGAAAGGAATTTTCTCAGATCTTGAAGCAGGTCTGGCTTTTGTCTTTAGCTTGTCCAAAAACTATGAGGTTCAGATCATTCTCTGCATTCTTTGATGGGGTCATAATCATTTATTGAGGTCCTTTTCATGGTGAGTGGGAACTACTATCACGGAAGGATATGACTAGTGTCAGACATGTATAATGCATTGTTTAGATATATCTTTGGCATATTTTGCTGTTTTCTGTCAACAGTTTATTTGGCTTTACATTCTTGTAATGCTTTTAAATAATCTTGTAAGGTGGATGAGGCTGCATTTGAGACAAATGAAGAGGTTGCTCTGTGGAGCACTTTTACGGCAATTGAAAACAACGTTTACCCAGGTAATTGTTCTTTCTCATCCAAGGCCACTTTTCTTATGGTAGTTAGGGTAAGGCAAGGGGTGGAGAAGGCCCCTTAGCATCATTACCCAATATTTGGGAACCTTTTTTTTAAGTAGGTTAAGACACTATGCAATGGGTTTATATTATCATCAGAATAAGACACTACTTTGGTCGCTAGTTTAACTTAATACCAAAATATGCTTCTTTTTCCTTTTGCTTCCTATTTCTTTTTGCTTCTTATTATCTTTCTTCATGTCTCCTTCCTCTCTCCGAGCCCCATTTTTTCTTCTCCTTGCTGACATAGCCACCTTCCTTCCATTTCCTCTGTCTAAACCACATACTCAAACTGCGTCTTTGGATTAAAACCAAGAGACCTTACCAAATGAACCCCTAGGAAAAACCAGGAAACCCAAATCGACAAGTCTGCCACCGTCCACAAGTCTCTACTTCAATTTGTTTGCCTTGTACCTTCGATGCTTCACCCAACTCATCAACAAACAAAAGAATTCTCTGCAGATTGATTTTGTCATACCCGGTATTGCTTGCAAGCTCAGTACCAGTCTTCCAAGAGAAGAAGAAGAAGAAGAAGAAGAAGAAGAATTGTTGGAAAGACTTGTTTGGCAAAGGAGATTTCAATCTGTGTATATGTTTATGCATGTATTGACCCGTGAATTGCTTTCCTTTGATGCTGATTGGTTTTATGTTGTTGAAGTTCCAAAACAAATCTTTTGTGTATTACTCCTGGTTATTTATTTGATATTTTTTGTTCTTCTTCTATTTTATATTGTTTTGTTCTCAGGGACCTTATGCTTCATCTTGGTCTTGAAAATTCTTTTTGTTTCTAGCTTTACCTAGTTGAACAAGCATACTTCATGTTAGTCTATTTTTATGTTTGGGTTTAGAGAGGAGAGGATTTGCAGGTGAAGAGGATATTCTGGTTATCATTCAATCCTACTAAATCATTATCTAAATATCTCAAACATGTGATAGGGTAAGTTTACCTATCGGTAGTTTATCCTATGCTACCTCACTGTCTTACACTATCCTATCTAATTAGCCTAACTAGGTGTCAAACATGAACCAAATGTCCCTTAACATATATCAAGTTAAGAATCTTCGCTTTTCATTCAAAAATTGCATGTTGTTGTAGCATACGTGCTTTCTACTTTTTTGAAAATGTAGTTCTTGTTTAGTTTGAAAGAATTGTTTCCGGTTTTTACCTTTCTTTCCCTTTTTTCTATGAAAGCACGTAACATGTTCTGGATGTTCTCTAAATTAAAAGGAGCTGAAAATAATTTTTTAAGAAACATGTGTTTACTTTCTGTCAACTTTACATGAAAATGTTTTTATTTGTTTCTATACTAGAGTTTATTTTGAAAAAAAAAAAATTTG